GGCTGACTTGATAGGATGCCCTCGGTGCCCCTCTGTTCCCTTTGAATGCCTGAAAAATAACAGAGAAGATATTATCATTAACATTGCTGGGTTATTGGGTGATTTTTAATAGCAGCCGGAGTACGCTATATACCCAATGTGGACCTGGCAACCGCATTTATAGCGCATTACACTACATGTTACTTGTTAGACGCTTTTATCCAAAGCGACTTACATACTCAATACTGTGGGGAATCCCCACAGAGGGATTTTGACAGGGTTTTTGCACAAAAGATCCAAGCGCGCACAGAAGAAATCTGAGCCACTGCAGAATGTAGTGGACTCGCGGGAGCGAGTAGAGGACGCGTGAGAGCGCGCAGCTGGCGGTCCGCTCCGGGGCTCAGTCTGCATTTCATCCAACTTTGCATTAACGAAACAATTTCACAACAGACCCTGACAAACTCACAAAAACACAAAACAAATGATTCAAATGAGTGACTTACTTTTCCGCAGTCAAAACACTGCTTCTTGAAAGACTCTTCTTTGCAGATGAAAAAATCCTTCGATTTGTCCCTGCAGAGGATGTTTTGTTTGGAGATGCAGGTCCAATTTATTCATTTTCAAGCTTTCGTTACTGAGCACCTCTCCACATAAAACACACTGAGGCCGCTCCTCACCATTTCTAACAGCTTTTGTGAAGCCAACGTTGGAAAACTCCTCTTTGTATCGTCTTTTTGCCATCATGTAAGATCTGGATTAATCAACAGACAATAAACTTTCGCGGGGGACGCGTCAGAGCTGATACAAATACAATCTTTTATTTTTAGTTTATTTGTATTTAGAAAATTTAATCATTCAATATACAATGCTATATTGCATAATTTCATTTTCAAAATAAAAAATAAAAAAAACAAATTATAAAAAACAAATTATTTACAAAGCAGCCATCAGCTCTGACGCTGTCTGTGTGTAGCAATGCATTTAACTGGCGACCCAATCAAAACGGGTCCGCGACCCATTTTGGGTCACGACCCTGAGTTTGGGAAAGGCTGGTATAGACGGTTCATCCACACGAGGCCGACAGGGAAACACGGATAACGATAACGCATCCCAAAGTAGGTTGAGCCGATTCCGTGTGGACGGAAGACTTTTTTTATATCGAATTCGGTTTGTTTTCGTCTCCGTGTAGATGCAGCCTTATCCTGTGAGACAGTTTGCAAGTGAACTGGTAAGCTGTTTCTGAAGTCCTGAAGAAGTGAAACTGCCAAAATGAAATAAGAAAACTAGATGGAATAACCCAAACATTTGAATGTATGTCCATTCCTTCAGTTTAAATCAGTCAATAATTATTTTAATTGTAAATCAGTGTCACTTTAGTTTGAAGAAAAAATATTTTCGTGTATCCCTCATAAACAGTGCCAGTTCTTTAGTACAACATTAAAATGTGCCGTTACTGTTGGCATTAATAAGATTGTAAACTGTTTGCTGGTTATTTCACATTTATTTTTTAAATGATCACATTAACACATCTATACACCTTTTTAGATATTGTTGTTTTATATTGTACAATTCGAATATTTGTGCTAACTTATGTTGAGATTTGATCTTTTATTGCAGATTTTAACGATTTATTGTGCTGATTGTTGTTCTTTGTGTCTCAGGTGTATGTATATCTCAGGTGTGCCAGGCACAGGTAAGACAGCCACCGTTCATGAGGTGATGCGCTGTCTGCAGCACGCCACCGACATGGACGAGATCGCTCACTTCCACTTCATCGAGATCAACGGGATGAAGATGACTGATCCTCATCAGGCCTATGTCCAGATCCTGCAGGTGACAGCTGTGAACGCCACACCAAAAACAAAGGGGCATGCACAAATGATTTGATGTCGTACATTTTCTAAAGGTCAATTTGAAACTGCTGTTGAAATAATATAACAGTAGAATAAACAATAAAAATGTTGGGATGGAATTTTAAGCCTGCCAAAATGTTGGGGGTCTTTACTTTGTTTTTTTTAACTTTAATTCAACAAAGTCCACACTCTAGTGGGTTCACTGACTGAGTGGTCTGGTCCTGCAGAAACTCACAGGTCAGAAGGCCACTGCCGACCATGCAGCAGCTCTGCTGGAGAAAAGATTCAGCAACCCTGCACCCAGGAAGGAGAGCACCGTGCTGTTGGTGGACGAAGTAAGTTCATATTAATGAGCTTTTTAAATAACTATTTTTCAAGTATAAAATTAAATCAGCTGACATTTAATGTCTCAAATTGAAACAAACAATAAATGCATCTCCTAATAAACATGTATCAAAGCCTGATATATCTACTTCCTCTGTGCCATTGAGCGCCATTGTTGTAAAAAAAAATTAATGGTCCCTGAGTGACATGTTCCTTTATCACCAAGACTGCACTGTATGACTCACTTAATGAAACTACAGTTAGCAGCTGTTTCTAGAGAAATCACTCTGGCATTTTAAACAACAATAAACTTCTTAGTTGTTGTAGGAGCCAAAATATCTTACTTTAAATGTGCAGTTTAAAACATTTGAATTGTATCGTTAAATTGCCATTTGTGCTTTGGTGTAAGTTAATGCATTATTATTATATTTCTTGTGAGAAGCCAACATTGATCCTGGACCGGGGCTACACCCCACATTTTCCATATACCATAAGGTCAGAAATGCAGAGCTCAGGTGAGCTCAAGGTCGAGCCGTGACACAGTTTTTCTTTTTTCTTGCATTTTTGATATAAATAAGCCTTCTTTATTCACTATTTTTTGTTTTTCCTATGGTAGCTGTTGTCAACTACCTGGGGTGGTTATACATGAACATTTTGCTTAAAATGTAACATTTACTTTTCAAACATGTCGGATCCTCGCTTCTTTTTTTATTACTGCCATCAAAGGCTTGTCAACTGCTAACTGCATACGTTCTCCTTGAGACTCAGTTTGTGTACAGCTGTGTTTATGAAGAACGAGGTCCTGAGTACGTACCAAGGGCCAGAAGCTGAGAGCGGGGGAATCGAGATGGACATTGATGTTGTTGTTTGCTCTGGTGCCAGGTCTACAGCAAACACTTGTTCATTAACAGATGTTGACAGAATGTGATTACAGGTTGTCACCTTACACATTTCACCCATTGGTTTAAAACGGGTTAACAGTTTCAGTTTTTTTTTTATTTGAGCGTTTCATGAATGTAGTAACGTGACTTGCACATCTTTCTTGCCATTTCTCAGTGCACAATGAAGTGTCAAAAAGCTATAAAGATTTCACTAAGATAGAGAGAAAATATTCTTATAGGAATTATAGTTTGAGGAAAATATGTAATTACAATATTATGATGTAGGATTATTCACTAACATGCTGATGTTAAGCAGGTTAGAATGTTGTGTGCAATCAAACATACTAATAAGCTTTTAGAACCAGAAGAAACTTTTAAAAATAGATATATAGGGAATATTTGCAGCTATTAAACAAAATCCTCAGACAGCTGTGTGCCAACTGTGACGCTGGGACCAAAATATATGCTTTAAAAACATTTCCCTCAGAGGCTGATTATGATATTTGGACACTTGAAAAATAGTAATTGATTTTAATATAGACCTGTACATAACTTATTTTTACAAGAACATTTTATATATTTTGAAACTTAAAAAGAAAGTCTTTGACATTCATCGTATCCTTTTTGCCCATCATTTTGAAACATTTTTACTATAATATGAACTAACCCTAACCCTAAGGCCTAGTTGTTCGACCCTAATGTTGGTACCAGAAGATGGATGTGATCACGTGACGGCATGCTAACCATCTTTAACCCTTTGTGTGGTACAGTTGGACCTGTTATGGACCAGGAAGCAGAACGTCATGTACAATCTGTTTGACTGGCCGACACGGCGCCACGCCCGCCTTGTGGTACTGACCATCGCCAACACCATGGACCTGCCGGAGAGGATCATGATCAACAGAGTGGCCAGCAGACTGGTGAGAGAGCTAACCCTGTCCTGTGGAGCACTTTAATCAGCTCTAGGATCAGTTTACACTTTCACTGCTGTTCAGTTTTCTTGTCTAGAGCAGAGGTTCCCAACCTGGGGGTCGCAACCCCCTTGGGGGGTCACCAAAGATCGCAGGGGGGGCGCCAGGCCTCAGATGATTTGAGGCCTAATATCATATTTAGAATAAAATAAAAAAAATGTACATATAATTTTCTTTGTACATATCATTTTTTTTACATATTGTAACGCAATACATGATTGTCGCTAAAAGCCTCGTCTCCACATTACAATAAAATATAGCAATTAATTGATTAATTAAAATAAAAATTCAAAAAATTCATCTGATACTCCTCCGATT